AATACTTAAACCTAATATGACCCAGCAATTCCACTCCTAGGTATATAGCTAAGAGAAATGAAAACATATCCTCAACTCTGAAGTTTTTGCACAAATATTTTTTAAAATATATTTTATTGATCCTTTACAGAGAGGAAAGGAGAGGGATAGAGAGTTAGAAATATCGATGAGAGAGAAACATCGATCAGCTGCCTCCTGCACACCCCCCACAGGGGATGTGCCCACAACCAAGGTACATGCCCTTGACTGGAATCAAACCTGGGACCTTTCAATCCGCAGGCCAATGCTCTATCCACTGAGCCAAACCGGTTACGGCTTACACAAATATTTTTAGCAGCATTAATCACTACAGCCAAAAGGTGGTAACAATCCAAATATCTATTGAAGATAAAGGGATAAATCGAGATACACACACACGCGCGCACACACACACACACACACACACACACACACGGAATATTATTTAGCCATAAAATAATACTGATATATGCTACAACTTGGATGAACCTCAAAATCATCATGCTAAGTGAAAGAAGCCAAACACAACAGCTCACATATTACATGATTCCTTTCATATGAAATATCCAGAATATGCAAATCCATCAGAGACAGGAATAAGACCAGTCGTTGCCAGAGGTCAGGGTGGGGTGTTGTGATTAAGTACCAATTAATTTGTGGGTACACACAACTTAATGGGTATAAATAAAATGTTCTGCTGGGGTCATGAGAAAGCTTTGAAACTAGAGAGAGGTAGGTTGCACATTTAAATTGGTTCCACTGAATCGTACACTTTCAAATAGTTAATTTTATGTTATACGAAGTTCACCTCAATATTTAATAAACATAATATTATATTTAACATAATCCTCTTTTAGTTTTAAAAAATGCAGATATACATGAGAGTAAAATGTGTTAGTTCATACATCAATACAGTAAAGATGATTATCAATGAATAATCTGAAATCAGGTCATTTTAATTATTTTCTCTATGATTAAATTGTTTTTAAACTTTACCAATAACTTCAAAAATTAATGGCATGTTAAAAATTTTAATAATAGGAAGCAGAAGCTACAGTGGAGTTGAATAATAGATTTTTAAGAACATGGGGCAAATTCTTAAATCATAGGGTTGAGTTAAGATAAAAGAAAGTGTTATTGTACATATAACATAAATATCACAATTTATATATAGCATGATCCTAAGTATTTAAAATGCACGTCTTATGGTAACACTGTATGGGGGAGATAGGGTTGGGCAAATGAGTGACATTTTTCTTTTTTACTTTCCAAATTTTTCTTGTTTTTTAAATCAAAGTACTGCTTTATATAATTAGTCATTTTATATTATATGAACATCAATCTCTAATAACAAAAGCATAATATGCTAATTAGACCACACAGCCCAACGACCTTCCGGACGAAACCAGGGCTGTGAGGGCCAAGCCCCTTGCACAAATTTTGTGCATTGAGCCTCTAGTATAATTATAATTGTAAAATAAATTTTATGACAAGAATGGACTGATTTTCATATTTCCAAATTAGAGTCAACTGCCCATTTACACACAACAGTCTTTGCATGAAGCCCAAAAGGCCACAGCATAAAAATGAGTGATCCTGTACCCCCTTTGTTTTTGCTGATCAACAGTTTGGTAAAAAGCAGTTGCAGGTGTGTCAACTAAGGTCTGAGACAGTAGAAGCAGAAGATTTAGTCTCAGCAGAAAAATGCCAAAACGGGAGCTGGACAAAAGAAGAAACAAGGACATGACCAGAGGCTGCTGCCTAAGCTGCCTTAACAGACACCTGCGCTCTCTGCAGGATGCAAGGCCAACTTTTCTTAATGAGCATATTTACCACTGTCATCAGAAAGGTTCTTTATTTTGTAAATGTCTACTATGAGGCAGGCTGAATTCAAAAAACATAGAGGTTTGGAGTGTACCGTATGTGCTATGACAAGGAAGAGGTTTACACTGAAATTATGTATTTTGATACATAATGTTCCTCATAGAAAAATTTTAAAATGTAAAAAACATAAAGGTGGACATTTTAATTACCAAATTCTAACCACTCAGAGATACTTAGTCTATCTTTGAATAGAATTGGGCAAAGGCTGTTTAGAAGCAACGGTCCTTCACAGTGTAGTGAACTCATTAGCATAATTTGCTTAGCAAGTGTGAGCCTATTATGTGCCAAGCCTGCTCTAGCAGAAGTGTGGATCTCTGCACAGAGCACAGAGGATACTGAAAGGACAATTATTGCTCTTTGGTTGACAAGCACGCTTTCTCACTTCTTTTGATATCGACAATTTAGTAACCTGAACTTCCTTTGGGGAAATAGCCCTTTCCACTCCTAGATCCTGTGGTTTGGGTGGGACTGACCACTGCCAACCCAAAGTAAGGATGACCTACACTTTGGTCAATCAGTGGGTTCAACTGCAAGGGCAACAATGATTCCTTACTCTAGGCCAGCGGTTCTCAACCTGTGGGTCGCGACCCCTTGGCGGTCGAACGACCCATTCACAGGGGTCGCCTAAGACCATCCTGCATATCAGATATTTACATTACGATTCATAACAGTAGCAACATTACAGTTATGAAGTAGCAACAAAAATAATTTTATGGTTGGGTCACAACATGAGGAACTGTATTTAAAGGGCCAGAAGGTTGAGAACCACTGCCCTCCATTTATACTGCCTCACTTTAATTTTTTGAATTTTTAAAAGCGTTTGAGTCAAACTGATAACATATGTCAGGGAGCAAGATCTCAAATGCTCCTCCTGCCTCACTTTTATTTTATTTTTATTTTTTAATATATTTTATTGATTTTTTTACAGAGAGAAAGGGAGAGGGATAGAGAGTTAGAAACATCGATGAGAAA